AGAATTTTTCTGGGATAAGGTCTAGGACAAATGGGATGTTAAGGTCATGATGTAGGGTTTTGTTGGATACATAGAAAGGAGCATCGACTATTGTCCGAAGGACTTTAGACTGGAAGGATTGGATGCGCTTGATGTTAGAAAATTTTGCTGATCCCCACAGTTCTAGTCCGTAAGTCCAAATAGGTTTCAGTATTGTCTTGTAGATCAGTAGCTTGTTTTCAATGGAAAGTTTAGATTTTCTGCTTAGTAGTCGGTATAGTTGGCCGTATCGTCGGTTGAGTTCTTGTCTTTTGAGTCTAGTATGCGGGTTCCAAGTTAGTCTTCGGTCTAAATGAAAGCCAAGATACCGGACTGTGTCTGAATAAGGAAGCTGGATGGAATTAAAGAGTACTGGTGGACAGGAATTGCGTCGGAGTGTAAAGGTAATATGTTGGCATTTAGATTCATTAACTTTAATGCGCCAGTTATTACACCAGTGCTCAATCAAGGTGAGGTGACTTTGGAGATTTAAGGATGCTATTTCGGGATCAGAGTTGGATGATAAGATTGCGGTGTCGTCAGCGAATGTTGCAAGAAAAGTATCGGGATGAACAGGGATGTCAGCAGTAAAGAGGATGTAAAGCACGGGACCCAAGACGCTGCCTTGGGGAACACCGGCTTTAACGGAGTAGATATTGGAAAATTCTGTTCCACAGCGAACTCGAAAGGAGCGGTCAGAGAGGTAGGATCGGAGGACTAGGTACAAGGACTGAGGTAAATGGATTTTAAGCTTGGAGAGCAGTCCGGAGTGCCATACCCGGTCAAATGCCTGTGCAATGTCCAGAAAGGCACCCGAACAGTATTCCTTGTTTTCTAGGGCTGAGGAAATATGATCAACAACTCGGAGTCCTTGTTGAACAGTAGAATGTTGAGAGCGAAAACCAAACTGATGGGAAGGGATATTTTGGGATTCTATAATGGGTAGGATTCGTTTCAAAAGGATCTTTTCAAAAATTTTTGAAAGGATTGGGAGTAGGCTGATTGGTCTATAGGATGTTGAGCTATTGAGAGGTTTTCCTGGTTTTGGGAAAAGGATAATAGTGGAGTGTTTCCATAACAGAGGGAAGTGGGTGGTGCGTAGGATACAATTGTAGATATATGTAAGGAATATGACTGCTTTGGATGGAAGTTGTCGAAGGATTTGAGGTGTAAGGAGATCATGTCCAGGAGCTTTACGGAGGATTAGTTTTTTTAATTGAAATTTTACTTCGGAAGGATGAATAGCTTTTGGGGGCAAGGAAAGTGGGATTGGTGATGTAAGGAGTTCTTCTACTGTTACGGTGTGGGCAGGATGGGATTCCGGATGTGAAATAAATGTATTGGATAGGTGAATGGCGAACTCCTCAGCTTTATCTTCGTCAGATGCTGCCCAGGAGCCATCACCTCGTCGGAGAGGATGGGAAATGCGGTGAGGATTTAGGATTTTTGTTGTGGTTTTCCAAAGGGAATTGTCGCTAGAAGAGAGGGAGGATAGGTAGGAGTTGAAGGATTGTGATCTGAAGGTGGCTAATTCCAGTTTTAATTGTTTGCAGTAGTAATTATAGGAGCAGCGGTCGGTAGGATGTCGGGTACGTTGCCATAATAATCTGGAACGGCGTTTGGTGCGGATTAGGTTAAGGATGTGTTGGGGTAGAATGGTCTTTATAGGAATTCTGGAGGAGTCTTTTGGGAAGGAGGCAGTCCAGGCGGCTTGTTGGATTGTGGTAGTAAAGGAATTTACGGCACTATCAAGGTCATCGGGAGTTTTGAGGGATATGTTGAGATCAATATTATCGGAGATTATTTGGCGGAAAAGGTCCCAGTTTACTGGGCCCCTAATGAATGACGGTGGAGAAGGTTTGGGAACAGGTTCAAGTGAAACATTAAGGATTAGAGGACTATGGTCAGAGGAAAGTTCATTTAGACGTGTAATGGAACAATTGAGGGGACTTAAGCCGCTGTGGATAAAGAAATCAAGAAGATCAGGATTACGGTTGGGATCTGTGGGCCAGTAGGTAGGAGAGTTCGGGGAAAGGAGGTGAAAACGTTGGGAATTGAGTGCAGACAGCAGGGTTCGGCCACGAGAATTCGTGGTTCTGGAACCCCATTGTTGGTGCTTGGCATTTAGGTCTGCACCCAAGATGAAGTGATGTCCTAAGGAGTCGAGGAGAGAACTGAATTGGGCATTGGATATGGATCGGTTAGGAGGGCAATACGCTGATGCAAGAGTGACCGGAAAGGAGAAGGTTTTTATCACGATAGCGGTGGACTGTAGGAAATCATGTATTGGTAATGGGAGTACGTGATGGGAGAGGGATTGGTGTACAATTACAGCAGTACCGGCATGTGCTTTTCCGTCAGGGTGGTCAGTACGATATGTCAGGTATTGTGGTATATTGAAGTGCTGTTTAGTGGTTAGTCGAGTTTCAGTAATTAGTGCCACATCAATGTTCTTGTCAAGTAGTAAAGTAGATAGTTCGTCTGTATGATTTCTAACACCATTCGCATTCCAAAGGAGAATGGATATGGGTTTAGGGATGTGAGTCATTTAAGGATTTTTCAAAGGAGGGATGAGGTGAGATACGAGATTCGTGAGGAGTGATATGAGTGGAGTAACAAGGGATTTGAAATCGGTGAGGAAAGATGCTAACAAACTTGTGAGATCTGTTGCATTTGAAGGAGGAGGAATATGAGGAATTTGTTGTTGGTGGTTAGGTATATTAGGATGAAGAGGATTTTGAGGTTGGGTTTGAGGTTGTTGTTTTGGCAGGGCTTGACATTTATCGGTTAAAGTCTTACCTCTAAGTAGTTGGGAGAATGATACATCATTGTTTACAATTCTGGAAGGCTCTCTCTCTCTTCTTGTTCTTAGTGCTTCATCTTGAATCCGGTTTTTCTGGTGTCTGGTTTTGAGATTCTTGTAAATTTGGCAGCCTTTGTAGTTGGCCGGGTGTCCCTCCAAGCATAGGGCACATACTGCTGGATCTTGTATAGGTTTGGTGCACTCTACAGATTTGTGCTGTTCACCGCACTTCACGCAACGCGGCAGATGGTGGCAATATGTCTTCGTGTGGCCATAGGTCTGACAATTATGGCACTGCACGATGTCTCTCTTGGGATATGGCTTCTCAACTTTCACCATTGTGTAGTATATTCTTGTGATATCATATATTTTTTCGATACCTGGTGATGGCTCCAAGTCCACGAAAAACAATGGTAGTGGAATCCTATTTCGTAATCCTGGCTGCTCCCTGTCCTCCTTCAAAACGTTTGTTACCTGGCGTACATTGAAACCAAGCGTCGTTAGTTCTTCTTTAATAACTTCAGTGGGGGTTGAGGAATGTAAATTTCTTATCACTACTCGTAAAGCTCTTTCCTGCCTCAGCTGGTAAGTGTGAAAATTCGCATTTGTTTCTGATAAGTACTTCACTATTTTTCGGTAGGCTTCTGCAGAATCAGGTGTTATTTTGGTGTCATTGGTCCTGTTAAGGCATGAATAACTGCCAGAGCAGATTTTATTTAGTTGGGTGCAGAACATCTGGAAATTTTTAATATTTTTCACAAATATCGGAGGAGGCTTTGGTTCTCTGGGTATTGCTGCAGACTCCATTACTTCTCTGTCATTTTGAAGCACTTGGTAGGGGTTTGGAGTAAAGAAAGGTGATTCTTCAATCGTTTCTTGTGCAGACGTACCTGGTTGGGGCTGAGGTTCTGGTTCTGAAGTGTTCATTTTGGTCACTGGAGGTATTTCTCGTAGGCAGCGACGAGTCCTTTGTTTGGCTGGTGAGCTAACTCCGTCTGACCGAGACCTCTTGGGCACCTTACTGGCCATCACTTGCTGATCATACCGCATATCATAAGAGAAAAATAAATAAATAAATAAAAAAAAAAAAAAAAAAAAAAATTTTTGAGGAATGAATTTGTATTTCCATAAGGATAATAATGTTCGTTATTTTGTGATAGACTCCGATTGTATAGGGTTCTTCTCTTAGAACAAATAGAGATTAAATAAAATATACATATATTCATAGAAAGTTTTCCAGTAGTTTATAAAAATATATGCACTTCTATATATGTTTTATTAAACTTATTCAGTATCTTAAATTAAACTCTTATTACTCTTGTCCCATTAACTTAAAAAAAAAAGGTTTTAAAATATCTGAAAAAATAAGCAAAAATCTGATCTAGTTGTTCTAAGAAAAAACAATAACATAATAGAGCCTACAATAGTAATAAATTCCAATGAGCAAGCGAATGTGGATATAGAAGGTTTGAGAGCGCAAACACTGGTAGGGATGTTATCAAGTTCACAAGTTTACTATTTATAGTTGAATACATGACTCGGCCTTAGTGAATTAAATCGATATGACATTGGTTTAAAAATTGAATTATTGCTTACAAATATCGTTTGTCTATTTCTATTTTTATAAATGCAATAGTTGGTTTTCCATTTATTTGATATCAGTGCCTATCATACAGGTTAACCTTACGGTGGATGAAGATGATTCCAACTCTTTTGTGTCAGATTTCGGAAAATTTTACTTATGTTTATACACTTGTTCCATCCATTGTTCTACTGAAAATTCGAAAGTAGGGAAATAAAAGTAACTTTGTTTTGTACTTACACTATTATAAGAATTTATTTTTTTTTACAAAATTTCAAACATATGATTCTAGTTTAAAAGTGTAACCGAGTTTGGTATAACCTGTGCAGTCTATATCAAATTTCAATTAAATTCTCAACCTTGATATTTTTATGTGTAACATATTATTAGATATCTTAGACAAGTAATTTTCTAGTTAATTTTTTACATTATAATATTTGGGATGTTAATTTTATTTTTAAATCTAAAATATTATTTCTATCAATGAACAGGCCAATCAATCACCTTTAGTTTTCTCCAAAAAATGTAAACAATGCGGAATAAATCAATTAATACCAAAAGTAAAAAACATGGCATCATTAAGAAATAAAAATCTCGTTCATTCTAGAATATTTATTGATACTATTCAAACAATACAAGGTTGGTTAAAAAAAATATAATAATCAGAAAAATTCAATTAATATTTATTAAAACAAATAAACAGTTCTGCAAACTGAAATGGTAAGACACCTCTCCTAGCCAGCTTGGGCGTTCGGGTGCCGCTCGACGATCATACCAACGCCCTGGCCCCCCGAGGCGCAGGCCGCCACCAGCCCGAAGGTCCCGTCCTCCCGGATCAGCCGGTTTGCGGCGTGGTTGATGAGCCGCACTCCCGTCGCCGCCGTGGGGTGGCCGATGCTCAGCGACCCGCCCCACCGGTTCACCTTGTCCATGTTCGGGGCCCCCACCTTCGACCCCTTGTCCATGTAGTTCCTGGCGAACCAATCCGAATCCAGCGCTCTCAAGTTAGCAAGAACCTGCCCTGCGAAGGCTTCATGCAACTCCCAAACGTCAATGTCTGATAATTCCAACCCTGCTTTATCTAGAGCTGCCGGCGTCGCATAAGTCGGCCCGAGTAGTAATTGGTCTTTAGGATCTTGCGAAACATAAACAAAGTCCCTCAAGTAGCACTTGGGCTTCAGGTTCATTTCCATAGCCTTCTTCTCTGTCATTATTAAACAAGCGGAAGCTCCATCAGTTTTAAACGAAGAGTTCCCTTCTGTGACAGTTCCGTGAGGTTCTATGAAAGCAGGTTTCATCCTGGAGAAAGTTTCAGGCGTCGCTACTCGCACGCCGTTGTCCCTCTCGATGATCCTGTCGCATTCCGGAATATTTATAGGCACCAGATCCGTCATGAAGCCCTTGAAGAAGGCGTCGTTGGCCAGGTTGTGAGAGCGAAGGGCGTAGTTGTCCTGCTCCTCTCTGCTCACCTTGAAGGCGGCGGCCAGTCGATCCGCGGCGTGTCCCATCACCTCTCCCGATGAGAACTCTGTCTTGGGAGGTACCTCGGGAATGAAGTAATCAGGACCAATAGAAGAGAACAGCTGAAACTTCTCCAGCGGGGTCTTTGCTTGTTCTGTCTGGAGCATGAGAGCCCTCATCTTTCTGGAGTGGCGGATGGGTACATCGGACATAAGCTCTACTCCTCCAGCCACGATAACATCGAAGGCCCCTACTGCTATCATGCCGATTCCTGTGGTAATACCCTGGATCGAAGTCAGGCAGGACTGAGAAACTGTGTGAGCTGGAGTTCGCTCCGAGAAACCCGATGCTAGGGCCACCTCTCGAGCAATGTTTGGAGTCATCGCTTCTTGTTGTACCGTTCCATATATTATGTAATCCACCATCTCCTTGGGTATCTTCGTTTTGCTCATCAAGGCAATCAATGAATGGCGTGCTATTTCATGGGGCATCATTTTGGCGTATTCCGACCCTGATTGCAGGAATGGTGTTCTTACTCCATCAACTAAAACTACATTTTTACCTGTTTTGTCCAGGACGCTTTTCATCGATCTCATATTGGTTGCAGAGGATACGATAGGTCTTGTATGGTTATAACTTACGAACCTGAATGGTTTGAAGACACTGCTAGTTAAAAGTACCGCCATCATGACATATTACTAACTGGCATAAATTAATATATACACTCGAATTCTTGATAATTTAGAGAGCCCAGGCGCTATCTCCAATAGTCAAGCATCTACTGAGGCATAATGTTTTTTAAAACATGTGATAAAATCGAGAATATCGCGTAGTTATACATTTCAAGGGAATGAATACTTTTTCAAATATGTTTATCAAGGTTAAGGTGTATTTTGCATTGATATACGTTCGTATTTAACCGAAATTTATCGATTAGTGTTATTCGATTATTTCCGGATAATTTCCATATGGTGATTATTTTAGGTTAATGTAAACATCATACTGTAAGGTTGTTATATTTAATTTTGATTTTCCATACAAAAAGTTTTGATTGTAACTCTGAAAATTTGTTTTCAAAAGGCTGAAATTATTAAATCATATACTTAGATATAGATATGCATTATTTTTCCATTGTTTGTAATATTTCATCTAAAGTTGATGTACTAACTTTCGAAAAACTATTTACAAAAATACTCTATTAAGGGACATCTCATGCAAAATTAAATTATAATTGAAATAGCTGATTTTATGGAAGAAAATTAAATAATTTTTTGAACAAGAATCTGCCAAGAAATAATTTTTTTTGATAAGTGAATTTATTAAATTTTTAGATCCTCCCCAATTTGGTATATTGATTATGGATATTAAACGATTCCCAACCGTCCTTAGCAACAGTTACTAAGATAGAGTAGGATTTTTTTTTACGCTAGTAATCAGTTGTAACAGTAAAAGAGGTTATGATTGGGTGGTGTTTGATAGCTAATAATCTGTAGTCACGTGGAACGTAGTACCTAGGAAACTATTATCTAGGAAACTACTTATATTGAATTATAAAAAGACAAATATTTTTATTGTTTAATTCGATATTAATCGTCGCATTTAATTACTTTGCTAATTTTTGACCATAGTATATTAATGTTGAAACTTATTAATTATAACTTCTTAATTATATTACCATGTATTTATGATTGTGATACAATACCTGTTACACGCTCTTTTTTATTAGAACAGATTATGATAAGATCAAATTAAAAATATATAAAAAACTTAAACATTGAATATATTCTATAAGTTTTCAAAGAACGATGAATTAGATAGGTCAACTTTTCTCTGACTTAATATTATTATGGCTACCGAAGGGTTCCTATAAAAAAGAAAAGTTATCAAAAAAAATTAGGACCCCTTAATGCGGTTATGGTTTGTTATAGAAAATTCAATCATGTTTAGAGAAGAACGAAGTTTTGGCACTCATTTTTTTGTAAAATTTTAAATTAAATTTTCGTTGCGCAACCTCCTCGGTTAAAGAAAATTACTTGAATTTAATAAATTTATCCGATGCTCATTTAATACTGCATTGGTTTTTACTATTCTTTTTTGTCATTATTGAATATGTTTGAATTTTAATATTTATCAAATCAATTCAAAACGTTTGCGTTTATTGAACGTATTGTAAGCTATTATCGAAAGTTTGTTGTATTTTCTTCTGTTATATTGTATAATTAATAAAATAATAATATAGCGAATCTAAAAATCCCTTGCCGATATGGTGGTGAATCGTTATTTTCTGACTACTAGACATGTTTGTGATGAAATACGGCATGAAAACATTTGGTCTAGTCAACGAATGCTCGAAAAGGGGAATGGTGGCGACACAATTTTTGACTTTGGGATATCTTTTGAGTATGTTATGAGGACAACGAGAGCTTGGGCTAGAATTGTTCTCATATTCCATTTTCCTATAATTGTTCTTCCAGTCCTAGGTTTACAGATTTTCAGAATCTCATCCATAAACACAATATATAGTAGGGGGCTTAAACTGTCGCCTTGTTTAACCCCTTTGTCCATATTAAAGCTGTTTTCTCATTTAAATCTCTCTTTTTTAAGCACCTATTCCTTTCCCAACACGACTGATCACGAAATGTACATAAGAGAACCCACCCATATGTATACATGTATATTTCAGAGAAGTATGAAGTATGTCTATTTTTTGTTTTTTTAATTCATGGTTATTTCGTTTTACCCTGATACCAACCGCATATATTTATTTTTCATAATCAAACTTTATAATCAAGAAACTCCTAGATAAATGTTTTCAGTGTCAGTTTCTTTATTTACAACTCTCTTATTTGAAACTATTAATTAATTTATTGAGTAATATAACATTCTCTCATAATATGGATAATAGTTATACTAAGAAAATAGTTCATTTACCTGTATGAAAATGTTGATATTCAACTCCGGATGTAGTACTATTTTTAGCTTCTATATCACAGGTCTACATCAAGGTGTTATTATTTTTTTCATGTTGTATGTACATTGTCGATTCACAGTGAAATATATGAGACACCTTGGAAGTTGCTTTCTAGCACGGTAGCTTGAATTAAAGCCCCTCTGAACTTTTGTTTGGGTCTGTTTTTGTGCCTCTGAGGCCTCTTTAAATATGCCCAACGCGAGAGTTCTTTTTTTTTTTTTTCGTTTCTCTCTAAGTTCTTTTTCTACTTCTCCTCTTCTGTTCTTATAAGATCAAGAGATTCTTTAAAGCTTGAGATAGTTTTACGGGTATTCCTTTTATTTTTAGCTTTCTTTTTTCTTGATTTATTTTCCTTACTTTTCTGTTTTGTTTTCTTTTCGTATTCAGTTCCTGTAAAACTAATTAAACTTATGAAACGGTGTTGTGATTTAAGATATAAAATACATAGTAAATATTACATTACAACGGTAATAAATTGACTTATTTTCTTATTTCAGTTTCCATTTCTTACATTTTATCCACATCCAACGCTTGTGTCATAGTTTTGAAAAAAAAAAGTATTTTTGTTGTTTTTAATTGTTATGGATTTAATTAAATTTTTTTTTATGGTTTAATTTATTAAGCGGTGTGGCACAATCATAAATTAAATTTCTGGAGTCAATTTTAATAAAACATTTATACTTCGAAATAAAAGAAAAAAAAAATACTGCCTATTAAATTCTTACGTGAAATAATTTATATAAAATTTATTTTAAAAGTCTTGCCTGATTGTAGGTGTTAATAATATGTAAATGTGTCCTGATCGTTCCATTCTTAAATTAAATATAAAAAAAAAATATAACACTTAAAATGATACAGGTATAAAGGTTTGCTTAGATGTATTGTTAAAACTGACGATAACAATTTTAATTTTTCATTTTTATTACCAAAAACAAGAGTCTAATTATAGACTAGATCCACTGAAAGATGAGTTTCATTCCTCTATATTTGCATTTAATTAATTTATCTGTTTAAATTTTATAATTTAGATAAACCACTTTAGTTCAGGTCTGGATAAAAACATCTGATATATTTGTAATTGCAAAAACGTATTTTATTTTTTTCTGAAATAAAATATTACCAAATTAGGTAGATTCCTTCAAGTTCTGCCCTACACATAATGATAGGTTAACAATTTAATGACTTAGCAATTGAGACACAATGTACTTTAGAAACATGAAATCTCTAGTTGATATTTTAAAATATGTTTTAAAATACTATTTGTCCAGCTTTCTTTCAATATAGTAAATCCGCTTTTTTGTGTTGTTTTCCTTCAGGAAATAACACTCAACTATTTGTAAAACTGGAGTTATGTGATCAGAATACGTTTACCTCATGGGATGTTTAGTAAATGTCTATTTTTAATACGAACTATCACTCCAGGAATCTTGTGTTTTTAAAATGAACCAGTAAATTTAATGTAAGTACTCATTTGTTCAAAAGAAACGTATTTCGCCATTTTATCTTGCGCTGAGTTTTAGCAATAATATATCTCTTGAAAAGTCAGATGTTTTATTTCAGGCCCATAGGTACAAGTGACACTTTTCGTTCATCGAAATTTTGCTTCCATCATTCCGTTTGTTAACAAACATTTTATCTGTTTAAGACTACAATATTACTACCTCATTTTATTACTTCTCTGGGTTTTTCTTCCTAATAAATGTTTTAGTAGACTTTTAGTGGTTGTAACACAGCTATAATAATTACTAACAGTACTTAATACTAATGATTCTCCCTTTAACCTCATTGGAGTTAAAGTTTTAAAGCAGGATTTAATATTTTAGTTTTTTTTTTTTAAATTCTATTATTTATTTATTGAAAAATATTACAATCTGTCTGAAGGACATTTATAATAGTGTTCACAGATCACATTCACACTCTATGTGCAGTAAATAAAATAAATTATACAGAAAAATAATATATATATACAATAAATAAGAATAAAATAACCTAAAAATAAATGAATAAAAAGAACACATACATACCTATATACAATATTTACCGTCTGATGAGAGAACTCCAAACCAGACTTGTCACTCCAAGTGTGGAGGAAAAAGCATGGCTCCATGAGATCCCAGCACTTTCATTTTTAGTTTATTAAAAATGTATAAGAACAATGGAGCGCGCCAGCTCTGGTCTTGGGTTGGATTTAATAATTTATTCTGTTACATTAGCTGTAAATCGATCCTGTTGTTGACAGACTCTCGTGGGGCATACAAGACTAAAACAATTGGGTACTCTTAATTAAATCATTAATTAGGAAGAATTACCTTTTAGTATTGGCGTATAGTATTGGTCAAGTCTAACCAACCAAGAAGTAGTACTTCCTTACAAACAAAAAAAATATAATAATAATAAATAAATACCGAATCCACTTGTCGTAGTATATGTATTTTATTATTTTTTTAATAACAAAAAATTGAATTTTTCTGATATTTCCAAAAATGACGGATTCCCGCCTATGATATGAAGCCATCGAAAGCCTGAAAATATTTTATTTAAAAATTTAGAGGGAGTAACACTAGTATTTCTAGTAGTTCTTAAGTTCAAGAACCCTTTGATAATAGTATTGAATTGAAGTATCGAATTATTTTCTGAAGAGGTAGATTTCTAAATAAGGGAAATTATGAATTTTATTTATTTTATGATCTTAGTTGAGCGAGATTGTATATATATATATATTTTTATTTTTTAATTTTTTTTTTTTCAAAGTTTAAAGCAGAGTTTATTTACACAGTCGTATAAATTGAATTTAAACTTAATGTTACTGTCGGGACGATTTTCATTGGATTAGTTGTAAGTGTAAGGCTTTCGTTTAATTTTACACGTCCAAAGGGCCTATTAATAATGGCCATAAACTCTAACTAACTGTCCCTAAAGTTTGTCAATATAACCCGCCAAGGGACCGACGCCTGGTACATTTTAGATGAGAAGCGGTGAG